AAGTGGAATTTGTTACCTAACCATATATTTAATAATAAGAATAGAGAGATCGCCCCTTTTATTTAGCTTCTCTCCTTGTCTATTTGTGCTTTTAATTTCAGTTCTATATTTGTGCTTTCTAATTGAGTAATTGGTAGTCTTTTATCAAGATGTAGAATACAGTCAACAGTTGACTCTTTGTTTGCCAAAATCTCGGGCTAAACGAAAGCATGAGTGCGTCCTTTTAACCACAAGGACAAAGGATTTGTGAGCTGAATAAATAGGAGAGTATGACTCCGTCTTCTTGCTCAATTTTTTTTTGGGCAAGTATAAGCGGTATGCTCTGCCGGCAGTAAAGGATATTTCTCCATGTTGAGAGCAATGAGTAGATTTTTTTAAAATTAAATTGTTATGCATATAAGGGTTGAGATTTGAGCTTCTGATTGCGTGCTTAATGGTGAAAGTCTTTATTCAGGCTACTTTTAGTTGGTTTTTTAACTTGATTTTTTTAAAAAAATTATTAAATTTAAATCATCAAATCAAACTCAATTAAACAGTTCAAATCTAATAATACTTTTTTCATTACAGCGATGGAAAGCCAAAAGCTCCCACCCCCTAGGGGACATATATCTTAGTGATTGTTTGGATTTTGGTTTAAAATCAATTAATTGTATGAAAATTATGTTTTAGTAAAAATTACGTAAATACTTTTCTTATATGTTAAAATTAGTCATGAATTTAACACCGTGTTTTCTTAAAAATATTCAAATTTTACTACGCATACTACAATTAATTATGAATTTAAAATCATAAATTTTAAAAAATATTCAAATACCTCTTATTATTTCAAAATTAATTTTGAAACAGAAAAAAAGATTTGTAAAATAATTTATATAATTTTTGGATGAATTTTTCAAAATGTATAATTGAAAAATTGAATTGAAATGTAGTAGTAATAATTTATGAGATAATAATGGCTTTGAGTTTATAATTGATTGTGACATCTTTGAAGATGTCTAGATATTTTTAAAAAATCATGATTTTAAGTTTATAATTAATTTTAACATATATAATAGGTGTTTGCATTTTTTTTTTGAAAACATGATTTTAGATTCATAATTAATTTTAACTTATAAGATAGTAGATGTTTGGAATTTTCTTATATACCACATAATATAATCAATCATATTTCAAATCAATCATATTAATCAATTTTTTTATAATTAATTATATGAAATTCAAACATACTACTTTGGGTCTCTAATGCCATACTCTGATGTTTAGCATAAGTTGTAATGCCTCAGCATCTCAATCTTTTTTTTTTAATCATCAGATTTTACATAAAATGAAAAAAATTTGGTATCTTAATGAAATGGTTCGGTGCAATTTTGTATTTTTTTATAGAAAAATGCCTCAAAATTTTGTATTTTTTGTTTTTAAAAAATTGAAAAGGAAAAAGTTCATTACTTAAAGTTTAAAAACATGGGCAAGGCCAGTTTTAATTCAATTTATTATCACACGCGTCAGTTGAGAGATACTTAAAAATTAAAACAATTTATCAATTTGATGAGCTGTCAATCAATTTTAGAGACAAAGCGCTGCAAATAAGATCTCTTCAATAAATTGAAGGATTAAGATTAATACGATCGGAGAAGAGTTAGAAAGTATTTTATTTTATTTTTTCTTTTAAAACACGAATCTCTAATTTTGCGCTAGAATCATTGTTAACGCAAACATGCACTTGATTTGATATCTTAATTAAGTGAGAGCTATTCAGATCCCTTAATTACTTTAGAGGCAGTGAAAATTGGTAATTTTAGATTCATTCTCCGTATATCACATATTTTAATGTAAGATTATGCTCAGTCTAATTTTTCAAAAGAATCCCTGACCTTTATGAATTCATATTTTGAAGAAGTGTATTTTGTGTTCAAAAATTAGATTCATGTGTCCAGCTGGTTTTGATTATTAAAAATATTTTTTATTTGATCAAACATTCAAAAATATGAGTACAGTATTTGTATATTGTTATTAGTAACTGAAAATGACATGAATCATCTCAATGTAAACCAAAAGAAAAACCATGAATATATATTGAAAAATCAGTATCTATACCATCTATGTATCAATAAAAATTCCCATAAACCATATTATTTACTCCCTCCATTTAAAAATATAAAATATTTTTTAAAAAGTTGAATGTTAAAAAAATGTAAGGCATTTTTAGTCTTTCAAGGTATAATTATTTTTTTTAAAGTACTCCTATAATAATGATTTTATATTTATTATATGGTGTTTAATAAGAATAAATATAAAAAGACATGGTTAGTTAAAAAGTAAGTAACTATTTTATTAAGGAGTGAAATTTAATTAAAAATACTTTTTATTTTTAAACGTAAGAAATATAAGTCATGAATAATATAGAAATCCTTCTAGCTGAAAAACATAAGATAAACATGAAAATTAACAAAGACTTGTCAAATGTTTTCTTCCTAATTGGTTCATACAATATTCAACCAAAATTATAGAGACGAAGACACGTAAAGTCAACACAAGAGGCTCGGTATAGAGAGAGTAGTTAGTATTTGACCACTGATTACAATAAACCAAAGAAATTAAGGAGCCTTCATTTTTGACTTTTGTTCCTTCCAGAAGGCCCTATTCTTCTCCAGGTTGGATCCAATGCGTCTCATTATCACCTCTTTTGGCATCTTAAGTTCCTTCTTCTTCCTAAATCTTTCTCATCTTCTAGTGAATACATAGACTTAACCCACCCAGATTGTTAGAAAGGAGTAAAATGAAATAAAATAGATTGAAATAGTTAAAATAAAAATGAGGTAAATCACCTTTACTCTCATGATAAATATGATAATGCTCATTAATATATACTCCCTCCATTTTTATTTGTAAGAAAAAAAACTGTATCACACAAATTAATAAATTTATTTAATTATATTAATTGTGCCTGAAAATAAAAAAATTAAAAGTTTACAATAAATAATAAAATTATGAGGGATAATTTAAAAAGTTTGCAATAAATACTTATTGAAAAATGTGATTTTGTTTATATAAAAAAGAAGCTAAAATTGATAATTTTTCCTATAAATAAAAATAGAGAAAGTACTATAAATATGAGAATTATCACACCCTTCAAAATTTTATGAATTATAATTCATAATTTTGTAAATTAAATTACTTCTTTCTCTTATAAATGTATTTCCATATCTCCTTCGATAATTTTATTTTTACATTTATTTTTTCAATCGATTTCATTTCATTCTTTTTTAGTAATTAAATTGGACCTTAGAGATAAAAGGAGGGTTGGGGGGAGCTTTTTCTTCCCTAAATGATAACTAGTTTATCAATGTCCTGCATTTGGACATTTTGTGTTCTCTTGTGACAGGAGTTTACTGTGGATCACAAATTTCTGGTTTGAGTATACAGGAAACAGAGATGGTTTGGGATATTTATTAGTCTTTACCCTTTTATTAATTTTATATTTTATCCGATTTTGCATATAAAATAAATCTCCTTAAATCGATTTTCCCTCATTTCCCCATAATGCAAGTCAAGGTCAAGTTTCTTTTCTTAGATCTCAATACAACAATGTCATTTTGTTGAGAATAGATAAGAGTACGAGCCAATTAACAAAGTTGAGACCCATGGGAGTCCCACTCGGGTCTGTCTTGGGTGCTCATGATGATGGGATTTAAACTATGGATGGTCAAGATTTAACATTTTTAATTTATAATTATATTTATATTTTATAATTATTAAAATAAAAAATTATTAATGAAATTTTAATTTATAATTTCTAATTTTATTTTATGTTTATTAAAATAAAAATTTATTTATTTCATTAATAAATAGCTTATCATCAATTAGGACAGTGCAAATCTAATTTGAATAGTTCAATTTAATTTTAAAATTTTTATATATTGATTATTTAGATGTGCTCGGTACATTTCAAATTTAATATTAAAATTTTTTATAATTTTTTATTTGAAAAAATAAAATATTAAAAATAAATATATATAATATTTTAACTAGAATTTTTAAAAAAATATTTTTTAAAAAAATTATAAGTTAAAAATTTTAAATTTAGATTATACAAAATACATTAGATAACCAATATATAAAAAATTTTAATATTAAATTAGACATTTCAGATTAAATATAGACCATATTAATCATGAAAAGATTTATTAAAAATTTTCTTATAATTTTTATAAATTTTTAAGTATTTTAAAAAATATAAAATTAATTATTTAAATTTAAACTATCCAAATTAAAAAATTTGAATGGTCCATATTTCCTCACCCATGGTGCTCACCAAAGATAAATCCGTTCCACTCAGTGTATAATTTGAAGAACCCATTCTCACAAAGAGACAAGTAAATGCTTAGACTTTTGAGGATAAATTGAAGCTGCAATATCCTGCCTTGTAAAATTAACATCATTAATTAAATACATTGATTCTTATAAGAGTTAAGGGTCATTTTTACATACAATGTTAGATTTATGATCACCTTAAACTCAATTATAGATCAATTATATCTCTTAATATTAGAAATTTGTTATCTTGATATCATTGACATTAACTGGTCTCTTCTCTTCTAATGTGAGTCCTACATTTAAATTTTTTAATGTTTTTCATTATATATATTATATAGTAGGTCTCACATTTGAACTTTGTTAATATTTTTTATTTTATAATAAAAAATATTTTTATTTTTCATTACAAATATTTTTTATTTTAAAAATTCAAATGTGAAACCCACACGGAACAGGAGAATAATATAAAAACTATCAAGATAGAGAATTTTTAATATTGAATAATATTACCTCATAGTTGAGTTTAAAATGTTTTTAAACCCTTGAAGTAAAGCTGGAATGCAAAACTAACTTTGAACCCTTCTTATAATGCCGGATCTGAGAAGCAACCTCGGAGTGGAATAATTTCTTGTGTTGAAAAAGTCCCAATTTAACTCCACCAAGCACTTTGTGGGGCTATAATAATAGTAATAAAAAAAAGAACCATCCTTTTCAACTTAGGCACAGACCCTCTTTCACTTTACCAACTCTTCCTCATCCTCCTGAAGCTCCAAGAAGCAGTCATGGAGATGGGATTGCTCTATCAACGACACAGAAGCAACTAGCAAGCTGGCTAGCTGTTCATCGATCATTTTCTTGGTGATGGGGTTGAATTTGAAAGAACTTGCCATCTTAACAAAGTTATCATAAAGTGAGGCCTCTTTCAGGTCGTTGTGTACGGATTGGCTTTTTACAGGTATGGATTTTGACGATGGAGCTGCGAAGGAAGAATATGAAGTTGGTATAAAAATGTCAGATGGGTTTTCTATTTCTGGAGCTACCTTGGCTTCTATGGAGTCTCTGTCTCATCCAATAGTATGTTCTGTTTCTTGCTTCCTCTCTCTCTCTCTCTCTCTCTCTCTCTCGTGTGATGATCAGAGATTAATTGATTTGGAGGTTGAAGATGAAGATGATGATGGGTTTGGATTTTTGTCGTGAAATCAGGTTCAGAAGGTGGTTGTTTTTGCTGATATGCAATGTAAGAATTGCCAGAAGAGAGTTTCTGACATTATCACCAAAATGAACGGTATGTTCCTTTCCTTTAATTCGTGGGACGTTGCATTACTTTTCAGTTAACTGATTTTGGTTAATTGTGTTAGAGGATTAGTATTTTCAGATTTTGCATTAAACTTGTCTATGTCCACCTTCAGCAGCTTAACTTTTCTATGTACATATACTATGAAACTAGTTAAGGAATTTCCTGAAAATACCCTAACTCATCAATTTGTTTAATTTTTTTATTGGCAAAATATTATTTTTAACCCCTAACTTTGTTTGAGAACAACTCAGTTCTACTAATGATGTTAGGTTTAGTAGAAAGGACTAGTTCCCTCACAATATAATGAATCAAAATTTGAATTCTCATAAAGAAAGTTGTTTAAATTAGTGCTCGATATGCCTTAAATGAAATTGCACTAATACTCAATAAAAAAAAGAATAACTCAGTTCTAATAGTTTGTTGATTCAAAATAACTCAATTTTTATAATTTTTTTAACCTATTACAATCCATTCTTTATAATTGATTAGCTCAATAAATTATAAGAGATATGTTATACCATGTCAAAGTTCAAAATTAAATTGATACTTGAGAAAAAAATTAAAGAGTAAAAGTTACATTATAATTTTTTTGGTGAAACACTGAAACATCGGTTTTAATTTTATTAGAAAACCTTATAATCTTATATACTTAATATTATATGTTGAATATACTTAATTTTAATTAAATCAAGCTATGTTGATTCTTTATATATTATTTATTCTATGATGAAATCTTATTATTAATATTATTACCATGTTAAAATTCAGGTATTGTGATTCAATTGGATCAAAATACATTGAGCATATAAGGTGAAATACCTTGCCCTAATTTATTTGTTAAGTGACCATTTCAAAGAAACTTCTTTTTTTTTTTTTTGGAGTATTATGGGTAAGAATATCTTGAAACAGGCTAAAGAGGAAGAGAAGTAGGGAAGAGTTTAGACCATGTGATCCTTGATACTTGCCACCATTAAATAGGCTGGCAATGACAAAATGTTTTGGAATATATAAGCTGTTAATTTATGATTATCACTGTAATTATTACCTTTTGATTCAGATATTCTCTTGTCTTTTAACTCATTTTCCCAAATATGCCAAAAAGTTAAAAAAAAAAAAAAAGTTCCTTTGTCACCTTCTGATGACTTTGAGCCTTCTCTTAGTTTACAAGCTGGCTCAGCATCTTATTTGTTCTATAAAACCACAAGACAGAACCACTGCTGTCAAAAAGTTTGTTTTTATTCACTAAAGAAAGACCTTTTATTTTCTTTTTTTTCTTGAAAGATTTGGAGTTAGTTTTGTTAATTAGCTTTACCTCTGAGAATAATTAAAATTTTAATTATAAATTATTTCTTATAAATAGACTTAAAAGGTAGTAACTTATATCAATGATTAATTAACTTGCTAGCTATTTAAAAATGTAAACATGGATAACTGGATAAATTCTTTTTTTTTTTAAGCCAGGTTACATTGTAAATTTTTATTTTAATGTCTCAAAAATTTCCGAATGAAAGGATGTCATTTTGGGTTTGGCATGATTGATTACATTTCTATAGTTCAAATATTTTTCCAATTAAATTACAGTAACTAGCTTATAAATTTAAAAATAAGTTAAAACAATAGGTAGTGAGATCACAAACGATGTGAAAAATAATATATATATATATATATATATATACTTATTCCAAAAAGAAGAAGTATCTTAGGCATATGATTTTTTTTGTCTAAAAAAATATACCCCTTTTGCTAAAAAATATAAGATATTTTTTAAAAAATTAAATATTAAAAAATGTAAAGCATTTTTATTCTTTTAAGGTGAAATTATTATTCTTTTTTCAAAAATACCTCTATTAGTTAGTGATTTTATATTTATTGCAAGGTGTTTCATAGGGATAAATATGAAAAAATAATGTTAGTTAAAAAGTAAGTAATTACTTTATTGAGAGGTGAAATTCAGTTAAAAATATCTTATATTTTTGTAAATACCCAAGTTTGGTTGGTTTTGTGGCTTAGGGTGATTACATTTTTTTAATAATAATCTTGATAACATAAGCAATAAAAACTTTTTTTAAGAAGTCAACTAATATAAAAATTCAGTAGAGCTCAAGCATCTAAATTCTAAATCACTACTTCAATATTTTATTTTATTTTAAAAAAAAAAATTATACTCATGACTCCTAGGACGAGCATAGGATGGTCGTCTCTTAATTTCTATCAATCCATATTTTATATTATTTCATGCTTACTTTTTCCTGTATTTTCCATTTAATAGGTTCAAAATGAAAAACAATATACTTGTCAGCCTATTAATTTCTTGTTTTTTTAAAAATAAAGTCTTAACTTCAAAAACTATAGATAAAATATTTTAAATTTCAATAATTGAAATTAAATTTGAATAATCCAAATATCAATTTAAAAATGAACATGTAAACGACTTCTTGAAATAAGTACATAATGTGTGGACCCTTATAGCAATATATGATAGTGAAAATATTCATGTAGTTCATGATTATTAATAATTTGATGTTAGAAATTATGTTGATGAGACTAAGACAAGGCAAAAATGAATGAATTGGATCAGCAGAGACAGAATCATTGGAAGTGAACGTGTTGGAAAAGAAGGTGACTCTCACTTTTAGATTACCAACGATTGGTGAAGTGATGCAACAGCGCCAATTAGCTCCAATCACTCGCACTTCACTCCCTAAAGCTGCCCTCATCAAACGCTTATTTCGCTCTCTTCATATCCTTCACTGAGCAAGTCCTCGTGCCTTGTTCGGATTTGGATTCTCTCCATTGCTCAATTCTTAGAATAGGTAAATCCAATGACCATGTCTTTTCACATAAGCAATTTCAAGAATCAATTGATATTTTGTACTTAAATTTTCTTTCTATAGAATAAATGATTGTCCTTTTTCTTAAAATAATGTTTCTCTTCATGTAATATTTTTTTTCTCTTGTAGAAAAAATTAAACTGAACACTGGCATAATCACACAATGAGAAAAAGAGATTTGATGAGTTTTGATTACTTTCTTTTTTCTTTTTGGGTTTTTAATCCCATCAAATCGGCCCACAATCACGCTCCTAGTGGGGTTAGAATTTTGAGGTCTATATATGATTGGACCCAATGCTCTAATGATTGAGGAATCTTTTGTATACTCATATTTTTTTGCTTTTTTTTTAATTTAAAAATAATAAATAAGCATCTTGAAAAAAAATTAATGTCAAGTTAAGAATTTTAATATTAAAACAGAATAGAAGAAGTACTGAATTTGAAAACTGTAACTATGAAAAAATTTTAATTTAACATTAATTTTTTATGGGGGCCTTCTTGTCATTTCCCTTTTTTTTTTTTTTTACGTCTCAAATCTCGATATGTAACATTAGTTTCGGAATCTTCTGATTAAAGATCCTAATCAAGTCTCGTGCCTTTATTTAATTTGGCGCAACTTTGCTACATAGGTTTCTCAATTATTATTTTTTAATGCTTACAGCCAAATTGGATTGAATATTGAGTTTGGCTGCTTTGAATAACCTGACGCGGAGAACAATCATAAGTATTAAAGAATGGTAAGGAAACCTTTTTTTTTTTTTAATTCCTGAGTTGTCGTCCACTAATGTTTTCCAGCTACGTATTTGATACATGGAACATTAAGAAAGACAATTTGTTTGCCAGGCATTAAGAAAGACAATTGACGTTTTAAATTTTACTGCAACACTTAACAAGCATTATGCGATAGACCAAAAAATTTAACATGTTAAGTCTATGAATCGAGTTAGTTTTTCTTAATATAATAAATTAAAGTTTAAATTTTTATTAAAAAAAGTGATCGACATTTATCTTCTGTTTGGAATGATAGGAAAATATGAAAAAGATAAAAGTAGAAGAAAAAGATATTTTTCCCTCTTTTAACATAAAGTTTTTCATCTTTCCAAGAGAAAATTAAAGAGAAACAATGGTTAAAAATGTCGTTTTCCTCTATTTTCTTTCTATTTCAAACAAAACTTTAGTACACGTTGGTACATAAAAAAATATTCTCTAAAGATGAAATGGGAAATGTATTTTAAAAAAATTAATATATCTCTCATTTTTTTCCTAAAAAATATTTTTGTACCCTACCAAACTTTACATTGAATGCTCGGTGTCTTAAACAGGATTAATTACCTCAAATAGAGGACACATGCGCACGATCCAAAAAAAGAATCTTGGAGAACAAACTGTTTTTTAGCCCTACGAAACAAGCTCTGGAGAGAATCATGAATCAAGGGGTTATATATGCCAAGCTTTGGAAAATATAAGAGATGCTTTTACAAGCTGAGTTGGGTATAATTGATCAAACCATGTGCATGAAGGAAAACATGATTCCTTATATCAAGCTTTAGAATGAAGTGAAGGATCATGAAAAGACTTGCAAATAAACAACTTCCACTTGCTTAGTCTAACCGGAATCAGATTCAGATTCTAAACTGAAGAGAAATCATGAGATCGCATTTCTTTGGAATGAAACAATTCGAAACAACATTGTCATTCTCAAACTGTACAAAATTGCCTCTTCACGAGCCAAGCCTAAAAAAAATCAATGGTTCTGTCAAATCTAGCTTCATGGCAAGGGAGGGTTTTTGTTTCTATTTCTAGGATTGCCGTATGTGGGACTTTTATATATGGGATTGATGATTTGTGTTTGTGGTATATGTTTAATAGTTATATTGACAAACTCACGTCTTCTCCAATATCTGAGTCAGGCCTTTATTCCATTTTGTTGAAAGAGACGTTACTTTTAGGGCTGTATTAGTGAATGACATTCTATTCACATTATTTTTTGGATAAACATTCTATTTAGACTTTAGACTTAGTGGATCAAACAGCGCTCGATGAACCCTTATCTCTCTCCACCTAAAGAGAAATAGACTTGGATAAGATTCGAATAATACGTTTGCCTTTTCGCTTTGGTGTGTCCCGGAGCATATGTTTTCCCAAAATCAATGGGTCCAAAACATTTTAAAAGAATAGGGTTAAAGTCTATTACCTCTGTTAAAAAATATAAAATATTTTTTAAAAAGTTAAATATTTATAAAATATTTTTAATCTTTGAAGGTGTAATTATTATCTTTTTTTAACAAAATGTACCTATTGATAGTGACTTTATATTTATTATAGGGTATTTAATAGAGATAAATATGAAAAAATAGGATTAGTTTAAAAGTAGATAAATATTTTATTAGGAGGTGAGATTCAGTTAAAAATATCTTACATTTTAATACTTCATTTGCCATGCAGCCATGTAAAACCCTTGTAGTTTATTTGGTTTAAATTGTAAGAAATTTTTTTACTGTAGAATACTAATAAAATTTAGTTATTTATTTATCCTCATTAAATATTGATGATCTAGAGCACTTATGGCAATAAGAGTTTGAAGGCCAAACAACTAAAGACTTGTTAAAATAACTTTCAAAAGTACATTTAAATCATTCCCGGATAGTACTTTTGCCAAATTCAACATATATTTTGATCCTTCAAATATAATTTTACCAATATAAACTGAAAACCAAACATATACTAAAATTGATGAATATGGTTGTTCAATTTTTTGGATCTTGATTTATAGAGGATATTTTATTTGTGATATTGAAACTTAGATATTGGGCATGATTTAAGATGTCAATTAGAGGTGAAAATAAGCCAAAAGCTCTATTGGTAGTCCATGGTCTAGCCTAATTAGGGCCTAATCTATTTAAGAAAAGGCTAGGTTTAAGCTTACAATCTTTCCCATTTAAGCAGATAGGTCAATTCTATCAAGCCAAAATTGTTGGCTTATCAAGCCTGTCTGTTTATATTTTTATATTATATTTATATATAAATAAAATAATACACACACACATTTATATAAATATATATAATATGATACATATATTCTCTCCATTAAAAAATGTAAGGTATTTTTTTAAAAAATTAAATATTTAATAATGTAAAGCATTTTTAGTCTTTCAAAGTGTAATCATTGCCTTTTTTTTAAAAGTGCCTCTCTTGATAGATGACTTTATATTTATGGTAGAATGTTTGACGGGGGTAAATATAAAAATATAGGGTTAGTTTGAAAGTAGATAATCACTTTATTGGGGGTAAGATTCGGTTAAAAATGCCTTATATTTTTTAACAGAAAGAGTATATATATAAAAAATATAATTAATTTGATTTTTTAAAATTTTTATAAGTTGAAAATTAAACTAATAAATAAAACAAAACTTCAGTTTATGTTATATTAATTAACTACTATAGTAAATATGGGGCCAAAAAATAACTATTATTATAAATATAAGTAAATATTTTTCCTCCCCTATATAAATAAATAAATAAATATCCAATATTTTGTAATATAATTTAATTAAATTTTATTCAAAATATTAAAGTAAACAAACAAGATTGCATGAGCGTACAATTTAGGTTGTTTAAACTGTAGCCGGACTTGAGAAATTCTCAGATGAACCAAGTGCTTCACGTCATTCATGATTTATTCAATAAAAACATGTTATGTTGTATTAATTTAATCAAATAAAATTTTATATACCATTATTTTTAATGACTTTATTTGTTGAATAGAGTGTCTCTTTAATTTGTTAGCTTTTCTCTCTTTATCATTGTCGACAAGAGAATCAATTTACATTTATAGCCATCTAGCATGGGATGTTTTTATTGAAAAAATTATAAATAATGTAATACATCTGATCCATCCAAGAATTTCTCAACCTAATTTAGCCTTTTTAACAAAAAAGCCAAAATTAAACTTATAATTAAGTCTATTTACATAAATAGATCGGCCTTATTTTCATGTGTAATATCAATGGTAATTCTCATATGCTTTGGAATCTTTCTCATTAAATAAGAGTAGCCTTTTTATATTATAAATATACATTTCAAATAAAACCTATGCAATGATTCCATTTGTATGACGGGCATACTCTTAAACACTATTTCTATTACATTCTCTTTTTCCTTTTTATTTTCACTTCTTTTTCTTCTTAGTTTTAAAAAATCTCCAACGCATTAAACATGTATTAGATTTTGATTTTTCCTCATCTCGTGAAGGGTGAAATGGGATTTTTCTCCCTTAGTACAAACGAATTAGAGCCTTAATTTCATTATACTCTAACCAGACATGAAATATGATTTTTGCATAAAAAGTGTGAAGCTAGAAGAAAACAAGAAATCCATCTCATGCAAGGATCCATCCACTAATCCACTTTTTGAAAA